ATGCATATGTAGGAATTGGTAATCATGCCTAGCAAAGCTTAGTATTGATTATTAATGATGTGTTACAATCCATCCGACTGCAATGATCAACAATAGTAACATAGGATATACATTCCATAGCACAAATCTTTTGATTTATGGATACTAGTGTTCATAAATACGCGTTCGAATTATTAATTTGAACTTGACAAATCGCTTTGAACTCAAAAATTATAAATATGGATCATCAAAAAATTTTATGCCTTGAATTATAAAAGTTATACTGTGCAAGTATTTTAATTATAATAATATATAAGATATAGTATTTTTTAAAATATTTAAGGAAAATTATGTATTTAATTAAATAATTTTATTTCTCAAAAAAAAAATAAAACAAATACATGAAGAATTCGAATCAATCAAATATTATTTGGAATTTCAGAAATTTAAAACAAATGGATTTATGAAAGAATCGCCAAATGATTTTAGGAATGTTAATCTTGTTGGTTAAGGTATTTACAAATGTTGATGGATTCACGTGAATATAATTGACGATCATTATTGAGATTTATCTATTATAAACGCATCGGATTAGATTAAGTTAAGGGGTTCAATTATTTATAAAGTGCGCCAAGTAAATTTTCTTTCGACTCCTTTCTTTCATATTTATTTTTTATAAATGTCTACCGGAAAGAATGCATTAATATTTGGTGCAACAGGTATTATTATTTACTTAAATTCGTTTTTATAACAATAATCTTTTTGTTTTCAAAAAAAAAAAAAATTAGATTTAATAAAGAGATATATATATAATTATGTGGTAGGTGCGGTTGGAAAAACACTTTTAAAAGATTTGTTAAATTGTGAATATTTTAAAAGTATTACTTCGACTGGACGTAGAGAAGTTGCTTATGATGGCCCCAACAAAGAGTCTTTGGTATGTAGAACTCGGTTATTTCGTGTAAAAAAAGAGGGAGTTATATCGATATTAATAATAATTAGATATTATAATAATAGATTCAAAAAGTCATTGACTTTGAAAAGTTAGATGAACATAAAGATGTATTTGTCGGATATGAGTAAGTGTAATTAATATGAATTACTCTCTTATTGAGATATTAAATGTTAACTTTTCGATTTTTTTTTTTTTTAAAAAAAAAATTCAAAGTACAGTATTTTGCACGTTGGGTACGACGAAAGCTCAGGCAGGATCCGCGGAAAATTTCGTAAAAATCGATAAAGATTATGTCTTAAATTCCGCAAAACTCGTTAAAGAACAAAACCCCAATAAGGAAATTCATTATCTTTATTGTTCGTCAAAAGGTGCCAATGCTAATTCACCTTTTCTTTATTTAAAGACCAAAGGAGAAATTGAAAATGGGTTAAAAGAAATTGGATTTAAAAAACTGAGTATATTTAGACCTGGAAATTTGAAAATAAGTGAACCAAGGGATCAAGGACGTAGAAGATTTGAGGAAATTGCGTTGAAATTTGCTAGTGTTGTGGAGATGATTTTTCCCCAAAAAATAAGTGTACATGTAGATATTGTTGGAAAAGGTAACCGTGATAATTTTTGTTTTTATTTGATCTTATTTGTTTTTTTTCCTTTGACATTTGAATTCTTAATGAGATTTTTCTTTTCTTTTTATAGCTATGAAGAGAGTTGCTACAAATGATGCAAAGGTTGAAGTGAATCAAACTACCTTAGAAAATGGGACAGTCTTTGAAATTTATGAGCATATGCAAATTCATGAAATTGGTGGCTAGTCTATATAGAAGGATAAGATAAAGAAGATATATACATACGTATTTTAGCACAAAGAATTCTCATATAACTTTTAAATGCAAAATTTATATTTATTAAATTATTATAATTGAAAATATTTGTGGTTGGTTAAATAATTTGTTTTAAGGGAACAGTGATACAAAATCATCATCGTCATAAAAATCATCATCTAAGATAGGAAAAACGGGAGGTATATTATTATCATCAGCTACTCCATCATCATCGGGTTGGTTCTTTCTTTCCTCACATCGTTTTAAATATTCACTAAATATGAACTGGAAAAAAAATATCGATCAATTTGAAAACTTAATCGAGAAAAAATAAAAAAGAAAGATTAAAAATCTTTAAAATCGCATACCTTTGAGTAATTATTTATATCAAATAAAAATGGCTTACTACCAAAATTAACTGAAATTCTTTCATTTATAGATCTCATACCGACCATGGGATAAAATTCACCTTTAAGGCTCATAAAAGCAGTTCCTAAATGAATTCCATTTATTGTATAAAATGCTGATTGATTTAAATAATTTATACCACATCCGACTACATCTCCTTTATTAAAAAGTGGACCATATCTTATTCCTTTTCCACACCAAAATCTATTTCCATCATCTCCATGATATCCATATGAATTCCAATCCCATCCTATGACAAAGAGGAAGGGAGAAATTTTTAAGTTAAAATCAAAAGTCTAAGGGAAAAGAAATACAATATTGTTGTTGGTTTTACCTGGTAGTCTATTCAACGATGCATTTGGCTCGGAAAATCCTATTCCTATATTTCTAAAGATCATAATTTTTCTTTAAAAAAAACTATTGCTACAAAAGTTGTAATTAAGTAAAAATAAAAATGTGATAATACTTTTTTTCGCCTTCATCTATTATTTCGATCTCATAATAATATATTCCAACATCTGAAGGTATAGGATTATCAGCTCGAGATGCTGCAGCATCAATTTCATTTCCTGGTCCTATATAAATGTTAATTATTAAATAATTCTTTTTTTTTTAAAAAAAAAAGGGTTTAATAATAAATACCGTTATATAAAAGGCCTAATTTATCATCAATAATTTCGATATATCTAAAAGAATCATTTTTTTCCCAATAAGTTGGTAACTTTAAATTTTCGATTGTTTTGTTTTTTAATAATAATGATGGACTGTGACTTATGTACGAACGAATATATGGTAATGATGAATAGGTCATTTTATTTTTATTTTATTATATTATTTATTTATTTTTTTTTTTTTTAAAAAAAAAAAAAAAAAAAAAAAAAAAAAAAGAGTTGATCCTACATATTTATAATTCATTCTTAATGCTTGAGGATTCAGACTGCGTCATATTACAGTACTACTACGCCACATAATTGTTTTAATTATATTGTGTTTAGGAAAAAAAAACTTGGATTTTGTGCGTAAATGCTGCGGAAGCATAAAAAATTATATTAAGTCAATTACGTAATACATGGATAGGCGTGCGAAAATTTGACCAAAAAAGTTGTGGTCTTGCAATAATCCTTTATTAAGCTTATAACTTCGTGCTTTTCATAAATCCCAAAAAATTTTTTTTTTTTAACTCACGGAAAAAAAAAATTCATTTATTGGCTGATTCTTCGTGTAAATCAAAGAACGCCACGGTATGCGTGTGCGTATCACCAAAGATTAATTCGCCCAAATGTTTCTCTGATGATCGAACAATCTTAAAAAATTTCGAGTTTAATCTAGATGTTGTGTAACGAATAATTCTGCGGAAATTAATAAATAGACGCAGGAGCATCGTTTACTGTACTACCAAATATTGCGCAATATTATAACGAAATTTAGCACGATGTGACTCACATTAGGTTTTCTGCGCCTAACCTCCGGCAAATCAAATACTTGCGAAGGCATTTACAATATAGTATAAAAATAAAATTTTCGGTGTGCCCAAGAATATCGCGCAGTTGATACGCAAATTTTTTTTTGATCGACCAAACATCAATTTTATCAACTAAAATTTTGGATAGGAATGATATATATTTTATTAGAACTTTTTGAAAAAAATTCTTTATCATCGTTAGGGTATTTGAAATGCATAATTTGGAAACATAATTGACGGGAGAATCTGCAATCGTATGTATTCTAAAGGGTTGGGAATCTTCCAACCCTTTAAAAATGAATTTTAAATTCACCACCTCAAATTCGAATAGTATTTGTTGTATTATAACTACGTAATGATTTACTTGATTTTGGTTAGATTGTAGAATTCTAGAATATTTTGATATTTTTTAATTTTACACTACCTGATCATAGAAAAAAGCATAAAAAACTGTCTATTGCCAAAATATTATAATGAACAATGGGCTTATTTGGAAAGAAAACTTTACCCACTCCTCCTGCTCCTCCTGCGCCTTATCATACGCTATCTATTAACCAGGTAGTCGAACATACAAAAACTGATCCTGACGATGGTCTTACTACACGTGAAGCTGCTCACAGGCTTGATTTATATGGGTTCAATGAATTATCAGGACAAGGGAATGTCAGTGCCCTTTCCGTTTTATTTAGACAAGTAGCAAATGCTTTGATGTTAGTCTTGGTCATTGCAATGATAATTTCATTTGTATTTGAAGATTACGTGGAAGGAGGTTCGTTTTAATTTATAAAAGTAAATTTCTTCGTAAAAAAACAGATAAATTTTAAGTTTTCTTTTTTGATAGGTGTCATTGCCTTTGTTGCTGTATCAAATGCATTAATTGGATTTGCCCAAGAGTATCGTGCCGAGAAAACTATGGAATCTTTACGCAGAATGGCTTCTCCAACTACAAGAGTTATAAGGGGTGATTCGTTGATATCCGTTTCGACAAGAGATGTTGTAGTTGTAAGTTATTTGGCAATTTAAATTAAAACTAATCCTTCGTTCTGACTGACTACCGGGTCTTTTATAAATAAAGTTTACCCATAAAATGTCGATCATCGCAACTGGGTGATAAACATATGAAACATATACATTATATATATCTATGTGGGTCAATCAATTCTTTTTCCTCTTTATTTGTTTATTAGGGCGATGTTATCGTATTCGAAGAGGGAGATGTTATAGGTGCGGATGCTCGACTTTTTGAAGTACTTAATTTAGAAGTGGACGAAGCATTATTGACGGGAGAATCTGTTCCTGTTTCTAAATCGTATGTGTAATAAAATATGATATGATGTATCTATATATATATTTTTTACAAATTTGGGATTAATACATTATAATCATTAACGATTACTTTAGAATTGATGCAATTCAAGAACATGAAAAACCCCTGGGTGATCGCGTAAATATGGTATTTTCAAGCACAACAGTAACAAAAGGACGTGGTAAAGGTATTGCTGTTAATACTGCCATGGGAACCGAAATTGGTAAAATCGCAAAAACCTTGGCTTCTACTTCTGTTGCATCACGAACTCCCTTGCAAAAAAGGTAAATTTAACTATTGTTGATTATTATTATCGTGATTATTTTATGGTTATGATTTTAATATATTCAAATTTCTTAAGAATGGATATGCTTGCTTATGCGTTATTCGGAGTTTCGATCATTTTAGCGATGATTGTATTTAGTGTAAATAAATGGAAAGTAAACGATGACGTTGCTATTTACGCTATTTCAGTTGGTATTGCTGTCATTCCTGAAGGTCTTGTTGCCGTGGCAAGTTTTCAACATTAATTATTAAAAAAAAAAAAGTTTCAACAAATTTTTATTTTAATCTTTGATGCTTTTTAGATTACATTAACCATGGCTCTTGGTGTTCGACAAATGGCTAAAAATAATGCTATTGTTCGTAAATTAAATGCCTTGGAAGCTTTAGGTTCAGTTACAAATATTTGTTCGGATAAGACCGGAACACTTACGCAAAGTAAAATGATTGCAACTAATGTTTGGCTTCCGGGTGATGGCTTTTACGGAATTTCAGGTAGAAAAGGGTTTAACCCTGAAGGAAATATTTATCGATATGGAGAAAGTGTGGACGGATCTTCTGAAAAAGCCGAAGGAATTTCGGAAACTATAGAAATTGTTGAAACTTCAGAAGAAAAGCAATCTAAAGGCGAAGAAGTCACTTTGGACAATATGAGATATGCTTTTACACGTCTAGTTCAAGCATCAGCACTTTGTAATATGGCTGTCATTAGAAAGGGAAAAGCTAATGACGAATGGCATGGAATAGGGGACCCGACCGAGGTAAATACTAAAAATCATGATAATATTTTAGTTGTTTTTATTTTATTTTTTTTTTAATGCTGAAATATTTTTTTCGTCTAGTCTGCTCTTCAAGTTTTCGCTCATAAAGCAGGATTACCAAAACCAGTGCTAACAGCGGAACCATTTAAATTCATGATAGTTAGCGAATATCAATTTGACACTGTTCTTAAACGCATGTCTGTCGTTTGTAGAGAACAGGATACAGATACTCATTATGTATTCCTTAAGGGTGCAACGGAATCCGTTTTAAGCCAATGTACGAAAATTCAATTTGGTGATACTATTGCAAATCTCGATCTGGAAAGTTTTAAATCAGAATTGTACGCTCAATTGGAAATACTTGCAAACAGAGGATTGGTAAATATAATATCTCGTATATTCTTTTTTTTTTAAAAAAAAGTTTGGAGATGAATTTTATGTTAAATACGAGATAATTCTTTTCTTTGGAATATAGCGTGTATTATCATTAGCGTATCGTCAAGTTACTAAGACAGACGTTGAAATTTCAAAGTGGACCCGTGACCGAGCTGAATCTGAAATGATATACTTAGGTTTGGTTGGTATTTATGATCCACCACGACCAGAATCCAAGATTGCTGTTCAAAGATGTTTCGGTGCCGGAATTGAAGTTCATATGTTAACTGGTACTTTTTTTTTTTTTTTTTAAAAAAAAAAAAATAAATAAATAAATAATATTTTATATATTCAGGTGATCATCCTTCCACTGCTGCTGCTATTGCAAAAGAAATCGGTATCCTTTCCCCTTTATGGTCTTTTGAATTAGCAGCGGAAAGAAAATCCAGTTCACTACTTGTAATGAATGCCACACAATTTGACGCACTTTCTGACGATGAAATTGATAAACTCAATGAACTTCCAAAAGTCATTGCTCGATGTAGTCCTGATACTAAAGTAAAAATGATTGATGCATTGCATAGACGAAATAAATACGTTGCCATGACTGGTGATGGTGTAAATGGTAAGTTAAACTTGGACATAGATATTTTCTAAGGTATAATAACTTTCTTTAATCGAAAATTTTTTTTTTTTTAGATTCACCTAGTTTAAAGAAAGCTGATGTCGGAATTGCTATGGGATTAGGTGGTAGCGACGTAGCCAAACAAGCTAGTGATATTGTACTTACTGATGATAATTTTGCCACGATTGTCGATGCTATTTCTGAAGGACGTAGAATTTTCAGCAATATACAAAAATTCATTTTACATTTATTAAGCGGTAAGTTATTGATAAATCGTTGGTTATTGTTCAATATTATGTAATAACAAAATTTTTCTTTTCTTTTTTTTAATTTTTTTTTTAAAAAATAGGAAATGTTTCCGAGATTGTTTCTCTAATTATTGGACTATCTTTCCTTGATAATGCTGGAGTAGCAATTAATCCTATGTCCCCTTTGCAAATTCTTTTTTTAAATATGGTTACAAGTTCACCACCGGCCATGGGATTAGGTATTGAACGTGCATCTAATGATATTATGAATTATCCACCACGTACCAAAGGTGGACTCTTCTCATGGGAAGTAATAGCTGATACGATTTATTATGGAGTAGTAGCCGGTGGTTTGACTTTAGTAAATTTCAGCATTGTATTATATGGTGAAGGTGATGGTAATCTTGGAGAGCGATGTAATTCATCATCAGAGCCTAGCTGTGAACAAGGCGATACTAGTTGTAATGCAGACGATTTAAAAAAAGCGTGTCATTTAGTTTATCGCGCTAGGGCTGCTTCATTCGCCACATTAACTTGCATTTTATTAATTCATGCATATAATTGTCGGTCGTTGAGAGATCCTATTTGGTCAATGAAATTATATGATAATAAGTTATTATTTTGGTCTGTATTAGGTGGTTTCTTAACAGCCATTCCAACCTTTTATATACCTGGGTAAGTCAATATTATATAATTGTATATGTTATAATGTATATATATATATAAAAATATTTCTAATATCTAATAATTTTATTTATTAATTAGATTGAATACAAGAGTATTCAGACAATTAGGCATTGGATATGAGTGGGGATTAATATTTGGAGCCGTGATAATTTTTGAAATATTTGTTGAAGTTTATAAGTACATTAAGAGAAGAAAATTGGAGCCATTAACACTTGTTGGAGGAGAAGGATTGCGAAAACAATATTCTGTTAATGAATTAGATCTATAAAATAAATTTTTAGATTTTTTTTTTTTTTTTTTTACGATGTGACACTGCCAGTCACTTTATTAATTTATAAAATCAAAAATACAATTTAAGAAAAATAAACTAGACTAAGTACTAGCTATCCCCCGTAGTTATATTTCAAACCCGTTTGAATCGACCTATCATCGTCTTTTCCCTCCAACAGACCCACTAATTACATAACTAATGACTACTGTTATCACCAAGAAAAGAAAAAGAAAAGTCAGTGCTCACTTAAAAATCCGAAAATTTGTTACCATGTTTATTCGCCAAGTGTATCCAGAGTTCCCAAGTATGAGATGCATCAGGAGCGGGTTGGTGATTCACAAACTTACTAGCACCACGTAAACGTTTGTCTTTTTTGGATATTCCTTCAGATCGTTCCTTCTCAATAATAAGATTGCATCTGGGTTTCCAAATATTATCATATATCTTTTCAAAAAAAAATAGACATATTTTGACCGTGATAGAAATGGCCAAGTGTTTGCTCCTTACAATTTGATGTATCATGGAAACCATTCGTGATGGGATGCGAGACCTGATGATGTTATAGTATCCATCATCATAACGGGAGGGTGTAATGAAAATTTCATCGAACAGATCAAAGAAGTTCGCAAGGAGTGAAGGGGTATGGGTGTCTCCATTTTTCAGGATAAGATCACCAGCTAGGACTTTAGTATCAGAAATAATATTATTCATTTTTAAGGAGAATGCGTCGCAAGTCCAAAAGTGGAGTGGTGTTTCGTTTTCAACGTGACAGCCGATACAATACCAACCAGCATATAAATCAGGATGGAGTTGTTTCATACGAGTGAGAGTTGGTAGCTCGTTGATAAAATTTTTTATAATGAAAGTCTTGAGGCGAGCAAAGGCGAATGAAGTTGAGAGAGCTGGGGTGTCCAATGAAAATAGAGACCAAATAGTAATCCAATCAATTGATGAGTTTCTGGTCATATCTTTAAGGTCGGAGTTTCGGTTGAGATTTAAGAAACGATCGAAAGTTTGTGCTGAGAAGAATTCCTTGTAAAAATTGCGAACTGAGCCTTCTATAG